TTGTTTTTTTTCTCTCTCTCTCTCTCTCTCTCTCTCTCTCTCTCTCTCTCTCTCTCTCTCTCTCTCTCTCTCTAATCCTCATATCTATACAGCATTAGTTATACTAGGGTGACCATACGTGCCATTTTCCCAGGACGCGTCCTGGCCAGGATTTGTTTTGGCTTTGTTTTCCTGTTTTCATGCTTGCTGAAGGTAATGATCGAAAAGTAGTTTGACCAATAACATGCAAGCATTGTACATAATGGACCAATCATGGCGTGTGAGAAGGTGGGATCTACGGTCAAAGCGATGCAATTATGCGTACATATTAGGTGTGTTCGACTTAAAAGCAGTGCGGCTCAGACCGATCAGTGTTTGACATCAAAGTACCGCGTTTCGAAAGCATGGTACTGTATGGTACTTTGATGTCATACACCGATCGGTCTGCACACGCAAACAAAGCCAAAACCTAGATATTTTAGGCAATATAGAAATCCTGGCCAGGACGCGTCCTGGGAAAATGGCACATATGGTCACCCTAAGTTATACAGTTGTTGGATGCTTGTTCTCTACCAGAAATGATGCTAAAACTGTCCATGTGAACGTCTCTGAGGCTCACAGGCTGAAAGAACAGCTAAAGCATTCAGGGTCAAAGGTCACCGAGAGAGTGAGTGTAACCTAATCTACAGTGAGGCTATTATAAATAGTTTATCTGTTCCTTCCCAGTGGAGAGCTTATCATGTCTCAACAGCATAAAGGGTGGATGTTTTTTGCACACTAATAGTTCATACAGGAGTTGCTGGTGAACAGAACTGGTGCTGTTGTTCACAGTGAACGTCATTTGCAGTTCTGCAGGTTCACGACATGAGCTGCAATTTGAAAATCCGGTTCAGATTTCTGAATGATAGACAGAAGTATCATGAATAGAATTCATTCTTTGTATTTACTCAAGCGTAAGCAATCCGATCCAGTTCTGGCCTGTTTGCAGCCTAACATGTTAGGAGCAGAAAGGTTAATTTAGGGCAAAATCATCCCATTCATTCCAAAAACTGCAGATAAAAGGTTAAAGGAAAAATGTTTGAGCATGTTTAGTTAATACTACTAGTAAAGGAAGTCAACAATTAACAATCACCGTTGTCAATATAAGACATTTTGTCCCTCATACATTCATTCGTACCTGAAAGCTGACCCTTATGTGACTTGTCTTATCGAGGGCTTTGGGTTAAACAAATTCTGCCATTTAACACAATTTCACACTCTTAAACAAACACAGGCCTGTGGATTTGCCCAACAGAGTGACCTTGAATGTAGAGCTACTGAAACTAGTGATTAGTATTACAACTGTGTGACACCACTAACGTCATGGACCAAAGGTACTCGTCTAACATGGTTTATTACAGCAAACGACTTCTGCATGGTCAGTAGATCAAACTCTTAACAGATGAACTTTGTGCCCTGTCATATCACACAATGCACGCACTTAAGTGTCTACTCATTTGTGCATGAGTGTGTGTGTGGGAGAGAGTAACCCAGTTTCGCTAGTCTAGACACACACCTTGACCGTTGCTTAGCTGCGTGTGAGTGAACGTGTTCAAAGAGGGAATAAGAATGACGTAACCTGTGCTGTCAGGTAAAAATAGTACTGCCATGAGACGTTCAAGTGCAACATCAGCTGTTACACAAACAGTGTGTTACAGTGACATCTTTCTTTGCTTTATTAATCTCTTATTTCTTCTGTCTGTCAGTATCACGGTGAAACTATTAAAAATGTGCGTGAAGCTTGTGCCACCTTCGAGCCGGGCAGCATCCAGTACAGGCCAGTGGGCATCGCTCTGGACACCAAGGGACCAGAAATCCGAACCGGACTCATTAAAGGGGTGAGTTTACTCATTTCAGTTCAGCTGCTACAAAGACTGGTGCAAGATCACTATACACTGCTGAATTATCTGTTGGTAATGCATGGATTAATAGTGATGGTTGTATGCATCTGTCTGTCTGCTCCAGAGCGGCACGGCTGAGGTCGAGCTGAAGAAGGGAAATAAGATCAAAGTGACCATGGACGATTCTTTCATGGAGAACTGCGATGAGGAAACGCTCTGGCTGGACTACAAGAACATCACCAAGGTGGTTGAAGTGGGCAGCAAGGTCTATATTGATGATGGACTCATTTCTCTCCAGGTCCTGGAGATCGGTGAGTGATGGATTTGCCATGGTAATGAAAATAATTGATAACAGGGTTCTGCAGGTGTTAAAAATGTCTTAAAGTCTTAATTCGCCCTTCCACAGATTAAGAAGGTTAAGGAAATTTGTGGCATTGATTGTTGCATGCATTTCAATAAAATTAATATCTTCCTTGTTTATTTTTGTCTTGTTTTCCAGTGTAAATATCTAAACAACCTTTAACCTAGATACTATTACTTGAGAATAAATTAAATTGTTAAAATGTAACAAAATTAAGTGTATTTGTGTAAAACTAGAATAAATATGTTATTGGTGTCCAAAAAAAAAAAAGTTTGTTTCCCTTTTAAAAAGTTTTTTTCTTTTTTCTTTTTTCTGACCATATGTGACCCTGGAGCACAAAACCAGTCTTAAGTCGCTGGGGTATATTTTTAGCAATAGCCGAAAAAACATTGTATGGGTCAAAATTATCCATTTTTCTTTTATGCCAAAAATCATTAGGATATTAAGTAAAGATCATGTTCCATGAAGATATTTTGTAAATTTCTTACCGTAAATATATTAACTTAATTTTTTATTAATAATATGCATTGCTAAGAACTTAATTTGCACAACTTTTAAAGATGATTTTCTCAATATTTAGATTTTTTTTGCACTCTCAGATTCCAGATTTTCAAATAGTTGTATCTCGGCCAAATATTGTCCTATCCTAACAAACCATACATCAATGGAAAGCTTATTTATTCAGCTTTCAGGTGATGTATAAATCTCAATTTTAAAAAATTGACCCTTATGACTGGTTTTGTGGTCCAGGGTCACATACTGGCAAATATTTGTTCTTGTCTTAATCATAAACATTTTAAAATTCGTTTTGATAAGTCTGCTTCCAATTATTCCTTAAATGTTCTCCATTTGGTCTTAAACGGACTTAAATTTACTTTCACAAAACCTGCAGATATCTGTTAACATGTTATTTCCTCCCTACTCTGTTCACATGGAAGAAGGTTCTTCCGGGTTAAAAATTAGGTTAGCGCATGCGCTGGTTCAAAGGGGAGCGCGCGGGTAAAAAGGGGGCTTTGTTGTAGAGGAACAGTGTTGAGCGGTGTTGCATATGTGAGCGCGGTGAAGAAAGGAATAAAGTGCGTTAACGGAGTAAACGTCGTGTTTATTTCATTTAACATATCACCCTCAGTCAAATGCTTTATTTTATTTTTTTTACTGCTGAAATTCAGTAAAAGTGAGTTAGTCTCCATAGTCTTGAGTTGAATTTGTAAGTCATTAGTCTGTGGTTTAATGAACATGACACAACGCTGTTTGCTTCTAGTGTAGACACTGTGTAATGTGTAGAATCATCTTTTTCTGCTTGATGAATAATATCGGTCTCTTTCTCAGGCTCAAACTATCTGGTGTGTGAAATTGAGAATGGAGGAACTCTGGGTAGTAAGAAGGGTGTCAATCTGCCGGGTGCCGCAGTCGACCTGCCCGCCGTGTCAGAGAAAGACATCAAGGACCTGCAGTTCGGCGTGGAGATGGGAGTCGACATGATCTTTGCCTCCTTCATCCGCAAGGCGTCTGATGTGCACGAGGTGCGTAAGGTGCTGGGAGAGAAGGGCAAGAACATCAAGATCATCAGCAAGCTGGAGAACCACGAGGGTGTGCGCAGGTGAGCGGATTACACCAGTTTCTGCAGGTGTACCGACCCCCAAACTCAATATGCACTATTAGATGTGTAAAAATGATTTAGGTTTGAATGAATCTCGTTTTATTCACCAGGTTTGATGAGATCATGGAGGCCAGTGATGGTATCATGGTCGCTCGAGGAGACCTGGGTATTGAAATCCCCACAGAAAAGGTGTTTCTGGCCCAGAAGATGATGATTGGTCGCTGCAACAAAGCAGGAAAGCCGATCATCTGTGCCACACAGGTCAGCTAACCTACAACCCCATATGTGACCCTGGACCACAAAACCAGTCATAAGGTTTCAATTCTTTGAAATTGAGATTTATACATTTATACTGAATGAATAAGCTTTCCATTGATGTGTGGTTTGTTAGGATAGGACAATATTTGGCTAAGATGCAACTATTTGAAAATCTGGAATCTGAGGGTGAAATATTGAGAAAATCACCTTTAAAGTTGTCCAAATGAAGATCTTAGCAATGTATATTACTAATCAAAAATGAAGTTGATATATTTATGGTAGGAAATTTACAAAATATCTTCATGGAACATGATCTTTACTTCATATCCTAACGATTTTTGGCATAAAAGAAAAATCTAAATTGTTGGCTATTGCTACAAATATACCCATGCTACTTATGACTGGTTTTGTGCTCCAGGATCACATATTAGCATGCATTCTCCGGAAAATATATCTTAACTGAAAGAAAATCCATAATATACTCTTCTGTAATGTTTATCTTGCAGTTTAATTGCTCTAATGAAAGTAAAGGAGCCGTTTTCTTGTAATGGTTGGTCTTCCTGAACTAGTGCATGTATGAAACCGGGCTCTCTGTATCTCAAGTCCACTCAAGTCTTGCGGTGTTTATAGATGTTGGAGAGCATGATCAAGAAGCCTCGCCCTACGCGTGCCGAGGGCAGCGATGTGGCCAACGCCGTTCTGGACGGAGCCGACTGCATCATGCTGAGTGGAGAGACTGCAAAGGGAGACTATCCTCTGGAGGCCGTACGCACCCAGCACATGGTGAGAGCGCCCCCTACTGACCCACACTTTAACACTTACACAGCTAAACCTTTTAGTACCTGACTCACACATTCCTCATGTTTTCACTCACAACTTACTCATCTTAAAAAAAATACTAAAAGGAATTTCCAAAGAAATTTTACGGGTTAAATACAGCTTCTCAAGAATGGACAGCATCTTTGTAAAAACAAAAAACGAATTGTATGTAGAGTAATGCACTTACAGTGGAGGTCTGTGGGACATTTAAAAGCAGAAATGTGATGCTTGTCTTTTTGTTAAACCACTTACCTTTCAGTAAAAAAAGTTATTTGTTTATACAATGGGGTCCAAAAGTCTAGAGACCATTTTGCATTTTTCTAATTCTTTCCAAATTATATAATCCACGTATCACTGAGAAAAATGTTAAATTAACATGAATTTGAAAGTGTTTTGTATAGAACTGAATGTCTGTCTGTGTATAAAGCATATGTCACTCATTTACTTACATTTGATTAGTCACCTAGAAAAAAAACCAAGATCTGAAATATTATTTGTGTTGTAACATTTTAGTTGAATTTTATTTTCAAAACAAAATCTTATTTCCCCAAGGTTTAAATTCTATTCGAGTCCCACATTTTCAGTGTACACTCAGATTTTGGACCCCCTTGTATGTTTTGTTTAACCCGTAATAATTCTTTAATGCCACAGCATCCTTCATGACTTTCATTCTCTCATATGCATGTGTTTCGCTCTCACTAGCTGGTTTTGTTTGTCTGAGTTGTCAGGGTCAGTTACAGACAACAGCCTTCGCTGGAGCTCACGTAGGGCTGGACAATAATTCAATATCATGCTTTCGCATGATATGAGTTTCTTTTAGGGATGCACGATATTATCGGAAGGTTATCGGTTTGAAAAAATGATGCCGATATGCATTGCCAATAAGACGGATAGCTCAACGTAAAATGCACAAATATCATTAAGATGCTTGTGTTTCTGAATAAATAAAGCAGTATCAATGTCATAAAATAACGAGTCTGTTTTCATTTAAAGGCTAGAAGCTAATTTACATGAATAAGAATCACAAACACTTGTAAATTGAAATAATTTATACAGATTCATTCATTTATATGTAATGTATTTTTTCAAATGGATTATGAATACTTATTTACAATGTACTCATTAAAAAAAGAACTTTAATAATGTTTATCAGTTCTAACAGGTTTTTGCTCAAAAATAACCAACCAATAACCATATATCGGCTATCGGGCAAAATGATTTGAAAAATATCGGCACATCGGCAAAAATCTAATATTGTGCATCCCTAGTTTCTTTAATCCTGATATCATCACAAATCACTTACACTTTACTGGTCACGGATTTATTTATGTCCATATTGAAAATAATATCCATGATTTAATGGTGGTGGGTTAGCTCTAATTAATATTAATTTGCATTTAATGTGAGAGTCTGGATGTGTTTTAATATTCATTTTGTTTTGTTTTTCTACTAACCTTTTCCTCTGAACTAACACCTGCACTAATTTCCTCCTTTTGTTTCCTCTTTGTTTGTTTGTTTTTTCTGTGTCCACCTCTCTTCTCACTCTTGATTCACACTCGATCTCTTCTCATCTCATGTATGTGCGTATCTTTCCTCTCTGTCTCTCTCTGCTGTGTTCCTCCTGTCGTATCGCGTGCCGGCTGCATCAGATCGCTCGCGAGGCAGAGGCGGCTATGTTCCACCGGCTGGTGTTTGAGGACCTGCGTCGCTGTTTGCCCCCCTCCACCGACCCCGCCGAGGCCATCGCCATTGGCGCTGTGGAGGCCTCCTTTAAAATCCTGGCCTCTGCGTTTGTAGTCCTCACTGGGTCCGGCAGGTAGGCAGGTGTGATGGTGAAAACCAGATCTGTCACAGTCAGGGAGTAGGAAGAGCAGGGACAGGAGAGGACTGGAAGAGAGAGAGAAATGAGAGACACACATGGCACATGCTGAGTATTTATGGATGTCCGTCTGTAATCCTAAAAATTCCCTTTATATTTGCAAATCATAGTGCATTCCAAAATCACAAGGATTAAAAAAGATTATATTTTGCAGTAAAAAATCAATAAAGCTGTACATCAGCTTTATTTTGTACATTGTTTTATGATTTAAATCATATTAATGTATTATAATAATAGTGCTGGGCAATGATTAATTGCATCCAAAATAAAAGTTTTTGTGTACGAAATACTGTATATTTATTATGTGTATATATAAATACATGTGTATATATTTAAGAAAAATTGTTTATATAGCCTATTAAATATTTATATACAGTCAAACCAAAAATTATTCAGTCACCAGATATAATTTTTGATTTTTTTTACTAGTAGGTGCAGGACACTATAGTTCATTTATGTAAGTGAAGATGGCAAAATAAAGTAAACTGACATATTTTACCCACAAATTCTTCATACAGTGGACTACCAGTAAAATTTGAAACCAAAAATTATTCAGACACTTTGACCTGAGCATGTTTAAATGTAAGTTTTTTTTCTTTTATTGCTAATGCGATCTTTTTACACCACAGACTGAACAGAATTAAGCACTGATGGGTAACTAGTTGACCTAAATTGGTATTATCTAATTGAATACTTAAATGTAACGGCTGACAGCTATTCAACCGAATTCATTACATACCTTTCTATCAAAGTTATCTGACATTATCAAGATTAATTTGTTCTGACACAGTTTGACTCTGAGCTCGTCATATTGTATAACCATTTTCTAAACTATAGTGAAAAAACAGTGATAATGTGAGAAATGTTGAAGGTGTCTGAATAAATTTTGGTTTGATTGTATAATATAAATTATACCCATAAGTATTTTCTAAATGTATACTGTATGTATGTGTCTCTATATATACATAATAAATATACAGAGTACACACACATATATAAACAAACTTATTTTTGATGTGATTAATCATTGCCCAGCACTATATAATAAATTAATTTATTATTATTTATTTAAATCATAAATAAGTGACTGTTTGGAACAGTACAGGACTAGCGTAAGCATTCCTGTGCACGTGTCTCTCTCTGTGTTTCTCTCTGTCGGAGTGATTGACGGTATGATTGTGTGTAACCCCTCCCTCCACCGGGTGGCGCTGTCAGATCGCCCGCGAGGCAGAGGCAGCCACGTTCCACAGGCAGCTGTTTGAGGAGCTGCGGCGCTCCACCCATCTGACCCGCGACCCTTCAGATGCTGTAGCTGTGGGCGCTGTCGAGTCCTCCTTCAAATGCTGCGCCAGCGCCCTTATTGTGCTCACCAAGACTGGCAGGTAAGAGGGGAGGGGGCCTGAGGTCAGAGTTCAGCATGGGACGGGTAAGAAAAAAGGCCATTGAAAAATTTGATCTCTTCTGCTCACCAAGGCTGCATTTATTTGATCAAAAATACAGTAAAATATTATTAGTTTAAATAGCTATTTTCTATGTGAATATCTGTTAAACTGTCATTTATTTCTGTGGTCAAACCTGTATTTTCAGCATCATTACTCCAGTCTTCAGTGTCACATGATCTTCAGAAATCATTCTAATATGCTGATTTGCTGCTCAAGAAACATTTCTGATTATTATCAATGTTCAAAACAGTTGTGCTGCACAATATTTTTGTGGAAACCATGATCTGTTCAATTTTTCAGGATTCACAGATGAATATAAAGTTCAAAAGAACAGTGTTTATTTGAAATGGAATTTATTTGTAACACTATAAATGTCTTCACTTTTGATCAGTAATGCAGCCTTGATAAACAAGTAAATACACTGTCATGTATGTGTATTTTTCATTATTATTATTATTATTATTATTATATATATTTTTTTTTTTTTATTCTGACCCTTTAGAATGGTTAACACCATGCGTAGTCGTCCACTGTTTTAGTCTAACTGTATGTTTACTAAGAGCAGCATGGTGATGCAGAATAACTTAATATTCTCAATTCAATTTCTCATCATTCCCTAACTCTTTTTTCTCTGAATGGCTATGAGTAGTGCTGTCAAACGATTAATCGCATCCAAAATAAGTTTTTATTTACATAATATATGTATGAGTATATATATGAGTTAGTACTGTGTATATTTATTATGTATATATAAATTCACACACATACAGTATGTTTTGAAAATATTTGCATGCGTTTACATGTGTGTGTATATATTAATATAATTAATATATAATAAATGTCTTTACTGTCACTTTTGATCAATTTAATGAGTCCTTGCTAAACATGTAAATACATTGTCATGTATGTGTATTTTTGGATTAGTTTTTTCTTCCGCTCTTGAGTGGTTATTAACATCGTGCATAGTTGTCCACTGTTTCAGTGAAAAAGCAATATGGTTAATTTCTGTATGTTGATTAAGAGCAGCATGATGATGCAGAATAATTTCAATTAATATTCTCAGTTATAATTCAATCATTATTACCTGACCCTTTTTTCCATGAGTGTGTGTGTGTGTGTGTTTGGACGGTGCAGAACAGAATCAAGTAAGGTATTAGCTTTAGGCTTCTGTCAGTAATTTAATTTAGTCACATGATTGTCTCTAGGTCAGCACTTTATGTGTTAGTGTGGGTGGGTTTGTAGTGTAGGTCAATTCTGGTTTCCTTGACCATCTTATCTATTAGTTCTGAGTTTTACAGAATAAAAAAAGTCTCCTGGAACTCCTCAGAAGGTGTTAGAACATTCTGCATCACAACTTGGCAGCTTCTAATGCTGTTGTCTGATTGTCCAGGTCCGCTCATCTGATCTCCCGGTACCGCCCGCGTGCCCCAATCATTTCCGTGACCCGTAACGAGCAGACGGCCCGACAGGCTCATCTGTACCGCGGCATCTTCCCCGTGCTCTACAACAAACCTTCCAACGACGTGTGGGCCGAGGATGTGGACCTGAGGGTCAATTTTGCCATGGACGTTGGTAAGACACAGAGGTGGTTGTGATGATTACACAAGAAACTAAAGACTGCAATACACTCATTTTAAAACACCTATGCATCATACACTGCCAAAGGGTTAGAGAGGAAAAACTGGACATCACACAGAGCCTCATGTTTGAAAACCGGCTCATCTGACTAACTGCTGGCGGATTTAGTTTCATTTTTAGCGTATAATTTCAGTTAATTCATTTAATATTTATGTATTCAAAATTTTATATTTAAAACATTCATCTCCACATGAATTTATGAATTTAATTGCACTCATGCCACCTCTGAGCCTCATTAAACATCTGGAAATGTGCTCCTACATTTTTAAATTAGGAGGACAAGCGCTCCTGACTGAAATTATACGCTAAAAATGAAACTAAGTCCGCCAGCAGGTGGCGGCAAGTCACTGATTTTATCACTGAATCATTCATTCAATTGATTCGTTCAAAAGTGACTGTCTGTGAACTGACGGAAAGTGACTTGCCGCCACCTGCTGGCGGATTTAGTTTCATTTTTAGCGTATAATTTCAGTTAATTCATTTAATATTTATGTATTCAAAATTTTATATTTAAAACATTCATCTCCACATGAATTTATGAATTTAATTGCACTCATGCCACCTCTGAGCCTCATTAAACATCTGGAAATGTGCTCATTCATTTTTAAATTAGGAGGACAAGCGCTCCTGACTGAAATTATACGCTAAAAATGAAACTAAGTCCGCCAGCAGGTGGCGGCAAGTCACTGATTTTATCACTGAATCATTCATTCAATTGATTCGTTCAAAAGTGACTGTCTGTGAACTGACGGAAATCCGTCGTAGCGACAAAACACTTTAATCCCTGGGTTCATCAGCATGCATTGATTAATCCCATGTTGTAGCAAAAAAATAAATAAAATTGCGACCAAATCATGTGCTCAACTGAGAAAGTTAGTCGCAAATGAGCCACCAGTGGGAAGAATGAGTCAAGCCCTGTGATATGATGCCTGTACACAGCTGTGATCACAGTCGTTCACATCCAGCCCTCTGCTCTCTCTCAGGTAAGGCTCGTGGGTTCTTCAAGCCCGGTGATGTGGTGATCGTCCTGACCGGCTGGCGTCCAGGATCCGGTTACACCAACACCATGCGCGTCGTCCCAGTGCAGTAAGTCATACTGGACCGTAGCTGTTCATACATCACTCCCGCAGGCTTCCAAACCGGTGACCTGATGTCGTCGTCATCATCATCATCTTCATCACACAAGCCTGGCTCCTCCCACAGGCCAGAGGACCACCATCACTTAGACGTTTGTTCTCACTGCTTTAATTTCCTTTTCAGTCTCGAGCATAATCTCACACACATTTATCCAGAGCTGTTGTCTGCATGCCCGTGAAGCACCTTTGCCCTTGAACAAACAGCAGCGTCCTGAAACGAGCGTGCGGCGAAGGGCTAAGGCGTACTGTAACTCTCGTTAGTTTATTTGTAGTGTTAGTCTGTGTGCTTTATTTGTGTTCACACTCCTAATGTTGTTACATTCGGTGTTGCACTTGTCTATAAGACCATTTGATTTGGGGACGAGGCGACCAATGTGCTATGTATTTTTTGAAATGTTAACGTTGGGATGTCCACGTCCGGCTCATTTCATTGTGTTTTAGTGGAGTAAGAGAACGGCAGAGTTTCTGAGAGATGAATATCGATTGAGCAGCGTCGGTCACATTCCCAGCATCCACCTCTCCTGTTTATCCCCTCACGACGCACTCGTCTGTCTCTGCTGCTCCTGTGTGTGTGTGTTCAGATCTACCTGCTTTGTGTCGCTAGGGTGCAAGATGTACTTATAACTGTAAAGATTAAACTATAGTATCATTCTAAAGTGTTGTATTATTCAAGACTGAATTAATAAAGGAGACGAGCACCTGGGCAGACTACTGTGGTTTTATTGTATTGATTATAATACATTTTATTTGTTTTTGATAATCCATTTCACTTGCTCACTATACAGTTTCTCTGTTAAATTAATAAAAAAAATAGAAAAGATTCAACTCAACCTTTATTCATAGCACATTTAAAGCACAAGAGTTGCTTTATAATACACGTTCAAGCACAACAATATACCCTTCTGTTACTACCAAAAGTATAAAATCTGTATTTAAAATGTATTCAAAACCTTAAAAATGAAAATGTTTTCAAAGATTTAAAAACATCAAAGAACAACTTATTGGACATGAAATGGAAACTTTCCAAATATTTTCCTTACACAAGCAATCAACAGCTGATATAATTAGATTTATTAAATTACTATTTGTTATAAAACTTCTATTAAAACCAATATTTTTTTAAAACATTTTGTGAACTGATGTTCAGCTATATTGTTCAGATACTTGCTATAGTGCCACTTCCGTAACATGGTGCATGAAATCAAACTTGACATTATTTGCATTTGTGCACTTGTTCGTGAGTGTTTCATGCCTAAAGCTGACGGTCTAATCACTGACAGTGAAAGTGCAGTTTCTCCTATTCATTTTTCATGTATTTTTTAATATAGCGGATGAGGTCTGAATGCTCTCTGGATGAAGTAGCTGCTCAATTACTGGCACTGCTTTTCTGATGAATACTCTCTTTGTGTTCTGCTCAAGGTCACTTACATAAGAGCATCTGTACAACAACTGAGCCTTGTCAGATGAGAAATGGAGCCAGAGCAGTTAAGTTTATTAATCCAGGCGTCAGCACAACATCAGGTGACAACCTGACTCGATGCAGTTCAAAGATTATCAAGCAGAAGTAACAAAAATATTCTTTGTATTACATTGTTACCATGAACTGCAAGAATATTCTAAAATTATAAAATGTATATTAAGTTCAACAACTCAATGTAAAGTTAATGTCAGGCAGAATTAGAATTAGTCTTTAACCAGGAGGTGGTTTATTGTAGAGAAATCTGACTGAATGCAGATGAGACGAGTGAAAACAGAAACACACACGATGTCAACAGAATAAAAACTCTGGTTCTATTTTGTGGTTGCATCAATACAAAAGAAAAGCTGTAAGAGCACCAGAAACCTTTATTGACCTATTGTAAAGGTGATGATATGAGCGGCGGTGTCAGCTGAAAGCTCATTGGCTGTCCTGGCTGTAGACCACGCCCACCTGCCGCCGGGCTTCATCCATGATCTCAGCCAGCAGCGCAGAGTCTGTGTGAGACATGCGCGAGCTCTCCTTCAAACCTGCACCAGAAACCACCAGATCACATGAAGGTCAAGCTGATCATTTCACAAAAGTGCCATCTTGTGGTTAATGCTTAAATAACACAGCCCTGCACCAAAAAATCCAGGGGCCAGTTGTCCAAAAAGTTGAATCTGGATCAGAATGGAAATCCCATGTTTTGCGATCCAGGATCAGGAAACCCATCTTACTTCTGTGCCGGTTTTTCAAAGCAAAATTGGATTGGATCACCCTGATCCAGATACACACTTTTCCACATTTCCAAATCTGGATTACTAGTGCTCTACGGAGCCCCTAAAGGGACATGCTGATGGAGAAAAAAATGCCAATGTTTTGCATTCTAGTTTAGCATTGCATTTACACAAATAACTACCATCTCTGATGATTGTGCCGATGTAGTTTACAATCAGTGATAAAAAAAAAAACACTTTAAATTAAATATAATATATTTGTTTGATATTGACAGCTGTTTGGGGATCTATTACATGTTACAAATGTTGCACTTTTTGGACCAGTTTTAAAGTTACATTTTTGTTCCTGAAATCCACCCTTCTGCTGGGATCAGAATAATCCAGGTTTTCTGGATCAAAAGTATCCCAATCTTACTAAAACGTTTTGAACGACACAAACTGAGGAAGATTGGATTTTGTGATCTGATCCGAATTCAGAATCCTTTTTTTTCTTCTTTTGAACAACCCATTTTCAAGATTTGATCCGATCCGATTACTTTTGAACAACTGGCCCCTGCTGATTTGCAAAAAAGGCCTAATATATGTGGATTGATTTATTTTATTTTTTTATCTCACAATTTGGAATTTTTTTATCCAGAATTCATAAACTCAGAATTACAACATATATAGTCAAAATTGCAAGATATAAACTCACAATTCTGGAAAAAAAAGTCAAAATAGTGAGATATAAAATTGCAATTGAGAGAACACAAATCAGAATTGTGAGATAAAAAAAACCCCATGGGCAATTGAAGTTGAAAAGACATCAAATTGACAGGTGAATATGCAAATCAAAGTGACATCAAAAACTTGACATGACGTTGATTTGATGTAAACTGAACGTCAAACATATTGGTATACAGTACATATACATTAAACCCATTTCAGTGTGGGATTAACTTCCTATTTTCACCCAATTACCACTGGAAGAAACTGCTGTCCAAACGGAATTTAGAATCATGTTATAGAATCTTGATCAAGTCTTGACTAATATTTGCCATCAAATTGATATCAAGCTACCCGCTGGGAAGTAGCAATTTTTGTTTTTTATTCCATGGCGGGGGAAAAAAAACAGAACTGAGAAATGTAAACTCAGAATTCAGAGGGGGAAAAAAAGTCAGAATTGTCAAAAATAAACTCTGAACAGATATAAACAAAAAATAGTGTAGCTGTGTACCGTGGAGTAAGCAGCGGCGGACCTCCTCGGCCTCGTAGCACATGCTGGTGCTGTTGATGAAGTTCGGCGGCAGAGACGGCTCCGGCACCGGATACTGAGTCTCCACACCGTTCACCATCAGAGACGTCGGGCACCACATGTGAGCCGGAACCTGATCAACAGAACAACCCCCAAAATTCACCAGCGGCTTTCTCTGAAAGTGCAATCTGTGCCTCTAAAGCAAGCTTAAAACTCATGTAGTCTGACTGATAAATGTGACCCCGGAGCACAAAACCAGTCATAAGGGCCAATTTTTCGAAATTGAGATTTATACATCATCTGAATAAATAAGCTTTCCATTGATGTATGGTTTGTTAGGATTGGACAATATTTGAAAATCTGGAATCTGAGGGTGCAAAAAAATCTAAATACTGAGAAAATCATCTTTAAAGTTGTTCAAATGAAGTTCTTAGCAATGCATATTACTAATCAAAAATTAAGTTTTGATATATTTACAGTAGGACATTTACAAAATATCTTCATGGAACATGATCTTTACTTAATATCCTAATGATTTTTGGCATAAAAGAAAAATCTATAATTTTGACCCATACAATGTATTGTTGGCTATTGCTACAAATATACCCCAGCGACTTAACACTGCTTTTGTGCTGCAGGGACACAGATGCTTTAGATTTTTTAAATCCTTTAAAATGTTATACTCTGACCTGTGAAGAACAGAGATGCATTTTATATATCTATTAAAAAAATCTGATGCATCAGATACGAAGTCAATCAATTTATATGGCTAATTTACTGATGCATTTAAAGACAATCAATTTTAAATTATTACATATTATTAAATAAATTAACTTTAATATAAATAAATTAAATATTAATTAACATTAAATACATTTGCTTATTAAAATGAATATATTTTAAGTCTTTTTAGTCATTGTATTAAATTATGTTATACGTTTTTTCCATAATTTCCTTGTCAAATTATATTTATTCTTATCGGTTTTTTTTGTTGTAAGTTTTACAAACTTTAAATGTTGTTATTCTGACCTGTGAAGCACATTGAGATTCATTCTATGTAAGAAATGTGCTTTTTATACAAATTTAAATAAAATTATTATTATTCAATTTTTCTGATTGCCTGCATCAGATACAATGTCAATCAATCTATATGGCTAATTTACTAATGCATTTAACTCCATATCTTTTTTTTAAGTCAGTTATTAAAATTAATATTTAAATTATTATATATAAAAATATATACTAACATTAAATGCATTTGCTTATTCAGGTTATTGTATTTTAAGTCTCTTGTATTAAATAATTTTAACCATTCTTTCTATCATTTCCCAAATTATTCTTTTTTTTAATTTTTAATCATTTTTTAAAATATTTTGAATGTTGTTAGCACATTTTAACTATGAAAAGTACTATAGAAATAATTTTTTTTTTTTTAAGTCAGTTATTAAAATTAATATTTAAATTATTATATATAAAAATATATACTAACATTAAATGCATTTGCTTATTCAGGTTATTGTATTTTAAGTCTCTTGTATTAAATAATTTTAACCATTCTTTCTATCATTTCCCAAATTATTCTTTTTTTTAATTTTTAATCATTTTTTAAAATATTTTGAATGTTGTTAGCACATTTTAACTATGAAAAGTACTATAGAAATAAAAAAAAATTTTATTATTATTATTATTAAAAAGTGATGTGTCCTGCAGGCCTGCATCAGATACAAAGTCACTTTGAATAAAAGCATCTGCCAAATGAATGAATGCATAATCTGAATCATGATCATGAGTTGTTTGGGTACATGTGATTTAGTTTCAGCAGTGCAGCAATAATTTAACTTTAAAAGCTGTACTAGTCAGCAGTTACAGTAATATATGATCAAATATTTACATTGCATGAGTTGAGAATTCAAGCCGAGCCGAGCAGAGCAGGAATGGAAAGTTGTGAGTGCTTTAACCTCGTTTAATAAACACACAGATGCAGACGCAACACTACTGACATGAGATCGTTTCTTCAAACCTTGATGGTGCCTTTGGTCCCGACGATCACGGCTTCGTTTGGAAGCTCGGCGGTGATTGTGCAGGTGCAGACGGCCAAACGCTGTCCTGAGAACTTCAGCGTGACGACCATCGCTTCATCTACACCTGCCAGTATCACAATATAACAAACCTCTCAGACTGGGGGATAAAGATGATTTAGTTTCTGATTTGAGAGAAATATGAGACCAAGTGTATAGAGAAGCTGATTCACATTGGTGATGAATAAGACGAGCTCCAAGCTTTTGGAGACCTTTAAGTTGAAATTTGAATTATTACATAACATTAAATAAATTAGATTATTAAAATTAATGAATTTTAAGTATCTTTTGTCAGTGCATTCAGTTTTTTTTATCATTTTTTTAATGCCTTAAATGTTGTTATTCTGACCTGTGAAGCACAATGAGCTGCATTTTATGCATGAAAGGTATTATACTAATAAAGTAGAAGTAGTATATTTTAATGTAATGCCATGTCAGCATCGTAGGCTATTTTCATGGCAAAAACAATAAAAAAAAAAAATACACGTATAACAAATACAATAAAAACCAGCAAACAAACAAACACAAGTTATATTACACAATATTTTTTTACATGAACATATGATAAAAATTCTAAAACTTTTTCTGGCAAAATTATACTAAATAACTCTTTAAGTGAGTTATTATACTAATAAAAAAGTATTATTATTATCATTATCATTGTATTCAGTTTTTTTTTTTTTTTTATTGTTTAATTATTTTTAATGCCTTAAATGTTGTTATTCTGACCTGTGAAGCACATTGAGCTACATTTTATGTATGAAAGGTATTTTATTAAAACAAAGTATTATTATTATTATTATTATTATTGAAATGTCACGTTATACAGATTGAAAAAAAATATTATTATTATTATTATTATTATTAAAGATACAGTCAAACCAAAAATTATTCAGAGACCAGATATAATTTTTATATATTTCAGACATTATCAAGATGAATTTGTTCTGACACAGTTTAACTCTTGAGTTCTTGTCATATTTTATAACCATTTTCTAAACTATAGTGAATAAACTGTGGTGTCTGAATAAATGCTGGTTTGACTGTGTTTGTAATTATATTATGTTCCCAGCAGGCCTGCCTCTCACACAAACACAGTAGATCCCTCTGAATGTCTAACTGACTAATATCTGTGATATTCTGCTGTCTGTATGCGAGTGGGTTCAGTACCAGTGTCCAGACAGACTCCGGTCGCTTGAATGGTCTCCGGTTTCTCTCCGTTGAACACCATGAGCACAAACTGTATGCAGTAGATGCCGATGTCGAGCAGCGCTCCTCCTCCGAGCTCCTTCTGAACGGTGCGCGGCACATGTGTGAGAGGAACGCCGAAATCCGCTCGCACCACCTTCACCTCGCCCACATCGCCCCGCGACAGCAGACGACCGATCTCCAGCGACACCGGGAAGAAACGCGTCCAGACGGCCTGCAGAACAAAAACATGCAGTATGCAGACTGATGTACAATACAAAAGATGTACAGGAATTTGCATTTGTGACCCTGCACCACAAAACCAGTCATAAGGGTAAATTTTTTGAAATGTACATTATATACCCCAGCGACTTAACACTGCTTTTGTGCTCCAGGGCCACATATTATATATTATGATTGTAATTGTAGTACTGATTTTGGATTTAGGACTGGTTGACTGATTATGAATGAAATAAAATAAAACATAAAAAAAACTTTAAACTATTTTATTTCAGCTAGTTGCCAAGGCAACATTTCTCATTTTCATTTAGTTTAACTTGATTTACTAAAATAACTGAAATAAAATTGATAAAAACTATATATGAATATTTTTAAAGAAAAAAACTACTAAAAATGCCAAAACACAAAACAAAATTATTAAAATGTTAACTAAAATTAAAATGATAATAGAAAATACAAAAGTAAAACAAATTCAAAGGTATAGTTCAAAAGTCTCTTCTGCTCACCAAGGAATTTTGATTAAAAAAAAAATACAGTACAAAATGTGAAATATTATTACTATTTAAAATAGCTGTTTTCTATGTGAATATCTGTTAAACTGTAATTTATTTCTGTGATCAAAGCTGTATTTTCAGCATCATTACTCCAGTCTTCAGTGTCACATGATCTTCAGAAATCATAATAATATGCTGATTTGCTGCTCAAGAAACATTTCTGATTATTATCAATGTTGAAAACAGTCGTGCTGAACAATATTTTTGTGGAAAACCGTGATGCATTTTATACACACATTTATTTGAAATATAAATCTTTTGTAACTTTATACACTCCTTTTCAAAGGTTTGGGGTCAGTGCATTTTTTTCTCTTTTTGAATTTTTTGAAAGAAATTAATTCTTCCATTCAGCAAGGTTATGTCAAATTGATACAAAGTGACAGTAAAGACATTTATAATGTTACAAAAGATTTATATTTCGAATAAAGTCATGCATGACTGTTTGTAATCTGAAGAAAGCATCCGCTGACCTCCATGAGGAAGACGTTGTTCTTCTCGGCCGAGGCGATCAGCTCCTGGACCTCCTTCAGGTTCATGGCCAGCGGTTTCTCACACAGAACGTTCTTCTGAGCGTTCATGAAGAGAACACCCACCGCCAGATGATGAGTGTGGATGGTGCCCACATACACCACGTCTGAAACACACAACCAGAGCAACACATCGACTACAGTCCCCTGCATATCTGTCAGCATCTTCACGCTCGGCTTTATTTGACTCTTTATTTAAAGGTGACATATTATGCCCCTTTTTACAATATGTAATATAAGTCTCTGGTGTCCCCAGAATGTGTCTGTGAAGTTTCAGCTCAAAATACTCCCCAGATCATTTATTATATCATTTTGAAAATGCTTATTTTGAGTGTTCAAAAGTAATCGGATCGGATCAAATCTTGAAAATGGGTTGTTCAAAAGAAGAAAAAAAAGGATTCTGAATTCGGATCAGATCACAAAATCCAATCTTCCTCGGTTTGTGTCGTTCAAAACGTTTCAGTAAGATTGGGATACTTTTGATCCAGAAAACCTGGATTATTCTGATCCCAGCAGAAGAGTGGATTTCAGGAACAAAAATGCAACTTTAAAACTGGTCCAAAAAGTGCAACATTTGTAACATGAAATAGATCCCCAAACAGCTGTCAATATCAAACAAATATATTATATTTAATTTAAAGTGGTTTTTTTTTTATCTCTGATTGTAAACTACATCGGCACAATCATCAGAGATGGTAGTTATTTGTGTAAATGCAATGCTAAACTAGAATGCAAAACATTGGCATTTTTTTCTCCATCAGCATGTCCCTTTAGGGGCTCCGTAGAGCACTAGTAATCCAGATTTGGAAATGTGGAAAAGTGTGTATCTGGATCAGGGTGATCCAATCCAATTTTGCTTTGAAAAACCGGCACAGAAGTAAGATGGGTTTCCTGATCCTGGATCGCAAAACATGGGATTTCCATTCTGATCCAGATTCAACTTTTTGGACAACTGGCCCCAGATAATAAAAAACTAAAAATAGGAAATAACATTATACAAAAAATATTTAAAGAAAAAATATGACTTTCTGTTGACCAGAAATGGTCATCATTTCATACATGTCCACTGTAGAGGACACCAGGACTAAAAGCATGTTTATTACGCATTTTGCGAGACAAAACAATTGAATAGGAAAATAAATTATATATCAGTATTCTTATGAAATATTAGATATTATTATGAAAATCTGGCCAATTATTACTCTCATTATTACACTTCTTTTTTTCAACATGCTGTCCCAACAGCACTTTAATATGCTAATTAGATACAGTGTATAGATAACAGTGTTTAATGGGAAAACCAGTTTATGGAAATTTTACACACATACTGCATAAAGCAAAATGGTATATCAAATCATTTTGTTATGTCTTTTACAACGTAGTTGAGAATCATCCTTATACAAAGTTTGGTATAAAAAAATCCTGAAACCTAAAAATCGATTGGTGATTTAAAAAAAAAAAAAAATCCCATTGCTTTTGCCTTTTCATGTCTTTTTTTTATTTTTTAGAAAAACTCCTGAGTCCTGGTGTCCTCTACAGAGGACATATTATAACATATGAATAAAAAATATAATTTTTCAAAAATGTTATTTTCCCATTTTTTCTTATGTTCTAAACAATGTAATGACATGAAAAAATACTAAACTCACAAAGCTTTTTTTCTGGGTCTCAGGAGGATCTTGTGCTATAATTAAATGCTATATGTAACAATAATGTGTTTTTTTTCCCTTTACGTAATCACAGTGCAGTACCGATGTTGGCCAGATCACAGTGGCGTCGCTGTTTCCCCGCTGCACAGTAAAACTTCCTGATTCAGCTGTGCGCTTTGTTTACATTCAGCAGATCATGTAACTGTTTGTGAAACGCATGTTAGAGTGTCTTATGCGTGAAACTCAGGGCATGTCAGGTGTGTGTGTGTGTGTGTGTGTGTGGTCTGACTCTGCATCATCAGGATTAACTCGCGTTCATTCAGTGCGCATGTGTGTTTCTCCTGAAGTTTCTCATGTAAGCAGGTGTGTTTCTGAGCTTTACCTGATGATTTTCTGCTGGGAGAGTCTTCAGTGCCACTGTAAAGTCATGACTGATTTTCCCAGCGCTGCAGATTCCCCACCTGATCGCCATGATGGCCTGTGTGTGTGTGTGTGTGTTACTGTAAGAACCAGCAGATGGCGACAAACACTATGTGCAGTATATACTCTATACTGCCTACTACTATTTTTGTTGTAAGTGAAAGTGAAACACATAATACACAACAATCGATGTTTCAAACAATATTATGCAACACTGTTGCTTGTGCTGGAAAATCCATCTTAACCCATTCAGACCCAAAGTATATTCCAGCAACACAAACAATATGACCCTGTTTTATTTATAGTACTCTAACTGCTGCCAGAAAACTTTTTTTTTTTAGTTATTTAAAATGTCCATTGGTTCTGAAGAGTGGCAAAACCCAAGTAATTATACTTAAAAAAAAAAAAAATCCTGTATTTAAAATGTAGCCATAAAACATCATTTTTAGTCAAATAAAAAAAGTTAGCAAAATTGGTTCTGAAGAGTAGCAAAACCCAGATAATTAAACATGAATTTGTTTTTAAAGAAAACTTTAATCCTGTACTAGAAATGTAGTCATAAATGATCATCAATAAATACACAAATAAGGTAATGAATAAATTTTTTTTGTTGTTCTCAAAAAAAACTAGTTATTTATAATGCCCATTGGCTCTAAAGTATGGAAGCCTGTTAAATTAAAAAGTAATTGCAACTTTTTTTCTCACAATTCAGATTTTTTTCTCTCGCAATTGTGAGTTTACATCTCGTATTTCTGACTTTTTTCTCAAAATTGCAAGATTTTATCTCGCAATTCTGACTTTATAACACACAATTGCCTTTTTTTTATTCAGTGGCGGAAATGGGCTTCATAAAAATAAAAAAGTAAATAAAGTTCGTAAAATTAGTTCTGATGAGTAGCAAAACCCAGTTAATTATACATATGATTTTTTTTCCTCCAAGAAAGCTTGTACTCTAAATGATGTATATTTAAAAGAAATCAAGTTATTTAAAATATTACATATGGATTTGTGGATTTAAAAGTAGAAAATCATGCTTCATGGCTGTGATGTAAAACTGAAGGCTATTGGCTATTAAATGAAAAATCATTTGCACCTTGAATGCATCTGCAAAATGCATAAATGTAAACAAGCGCATTATATTGTGGTCTACACTATTTTGAAGTCAGCATCACTCTTTTGACTATCATAGTGAATTAAATAAAGAGATTCCACAAATTCCGCTGTGTTTGTGTCACTTTAATTGCATACAATTTGTCTCCACGACTACACACACAAGACTTTTCATTACACACATGTTCAAGCATGATTGTTTCTTTGCACCATCCAGTCAGGTCAATCAAGGAATGGAGGCCAGTCATTGGCTGTCCTGCTCATAAACCACGCCCACCTGTCTCCGGGCCTCATCCATGATCTCGATGAGCAGCTCTGAGTCTGTGAGTGACATCTTGATGCTCTCCTTCAGTCCTGCGAGACAGATCATATAAACATCATCCTGACGCAGAGCTCATGCTCATCTCATCATAACAGCAGGTTTAACGGAGCGTCACCTTTCAGCAGACAGCGCCTCACTTCCTCCGCCTCGTATCTCAGTCCGGTGCTGTTATGGAAGTTCAGAGGCAGGCCGGGTTCAGGAAGAGGGAACTCTGTCTTTTTCCCGTTCAACTCCAGAACGGTTGGGCAGTGCATGGGATGCGCCACCTAGAGCACAGAGACGAGAACAGATCTAAAACTGCATTATTCTGCATCAAATGGCATTAACATAACAAAACTTAGTTCTGTCATGATGACAACTCTCGGAGGGATTGGCATGGTAATGCACATGACAATGTTAATGTATTTGGTCTTGGCAGAATAGATCTGCTACGCTGCTGCGGCAGAGCAAGTACCGAGACTTGCTACTGCCAATACATCCACAACATGCTGCTGTGAGCATGTAAGAAATACTGCTGCTGCAAATACAACATACATGAAATAACCCCCATATAGCATACATGAATCCAAATATAACATACATGGAATAACCCCCATATACATGAATCGTACATGAATCACCTCGTAGCAGATCTATACAGGTGGAGCTGGGGAAGGTGGAGGGTTTGTGAAGCAAGCTGCACTGCTACGGCAGCACTAGTCATATATTTGAATGTTGAGCAGCGAGCTCATTGGCTACCGATACAGGAGAGAACCAATCAGCTGTGCCATGTGATAATGATGTCATTAGGTCAGATTGAGTTAGACCTATCGGACTGCGCCATCTAGAGTTTCATGCCAGAACTCTGTATTTTATTTACTAGTGACCATATCAACAATATAAAGAGAAAATATTGTGCCAAAATTCAGAATCTTTATTCAGAATATATATATATATATATATATAGTAAAGGAGGAAAAAAATATTTATGAAACAAGACCACAAATTTGTACCAGACATGTGTGGAATTAATTTGTGAAAAAATAAGAAAAATCTGAATCCCAAATGGATTTACACAAACCTAAATTAAGTTTTGATATATTTACAGTAGGAAATTTACAAAATATCTTCATGGAACATGATCTTTACTTCATATCCTAATGATTTTTGTCATAAAAGAAAAATCATTAATTTTGACCCATACGATGTATTGTTGGCTATTGCTACAAATATACCCCAGCGACTTAAGACTGGTTTTGTGCTGCAGGGACACAAATATGGAAATAACTCTTACTGTACCTTCTGATCACACTGACACAAAATGTCTAAAGATTCTTAAATCAAGATACATTTACTTGAGAAGCAAAATGACATCAAACAAGTCAAAATGAACAAATGAACAAAAAGCACACATATCTGCCAATAGGATCAGAAAAATCAACTTAATTCAAATGGAAAGCAATTGACAGATATTTATTATATATATATATTTTTTATCATAAACTCCCTTCATTTTGTTACATTTCTCAGAAAACAAGACTTCAGATCTTAAATTTGCATTTTCAGTAAATGTAACTTTATTTTAAGGTTGCTTATACAGTATATTTGTACTGAAAAACACAAATACAAATTTTTTTGCAATGCATGCAACATTTAATGCCGTGACTTTATGAATTTAAGACTTTCTGCTCTGATTTAAGATCTTTTACTTTTGAATGTTTTGAAACTTTCTGAAATCTAAAACTAGTAAGAAGTACCGTTTAAAAAAGTTAACTGAAATGTTACATGAACGACGTATAAATCACTTTGTGCTAAAGTTTTGAGAACGTTATTAAAGACCAGATAATTTTAGATGAACGTTCTATTAATGCTACTGGAAGAACATTTGTGACCCTGCAGCACAAAAGCAGTCTTAAGTCGCTGGGGTATATTTGTAGCAATAGTCAACAATACATTGTATGGGTCAAAATTATACATTTTTCTTTTATACCAAAAATCATTAGGATATTAAGTAAAGATCATGTTCCATGAAGATATTTTGTAAATTTCCTACCATAAATATATCAAAACTTCATTTTTGATTAGTAATATGCATTGCTTAGAACTTCATTTGGACAACTTTAAAGGCGATTTTCTCAATATTTAGATTTTTTTTTTTTCACCCTCAGATTCCAGATTTTCAAATAGCTCTATCTCGAACAGCTCAGCTTTCAGATGATGTATAAATCTCAATTTTGAAAAATTGATACTTAAGTTTTGTGGTCCAGGGTCACATTTGTTCATTAAGAGAACATTCCCTTTACAAACTAAAAAAAAAAAGCCCTTTACGAGCTAAGAACCATCTCAGATAGATGCATTTTGCACAGTGAATATGCACTGTAACTAATGCGATGGTGATATTTACTGTACCTGAGGGCAGCAGGACTCCCGTGGCGTGGATGGATTCTGGTCTTTCCCCCTTGAACACCATCAGAGCGAACTGCAGGCAGTAGATGCCGATGTCCATCAGCGCTCCTCCGCCCTGCTCCTTCTGTGTGGCGCGCTCGCGGTCCAGCAGAGGAAGACCGAAATACACCTTCACCATCTTCACCTGCCCCACGGCGCTCTCCGAGAGCAGCCTGCCGACCTCAGCGTACACGGGAAAACACCTGGACCAGACCGCCTGACACAGAGAGAACACAGATGCCATGTTTCATTTCAGCTGGCATGAGAGTCCTCACTCTGTTCTTAAAAGCTGTCACCGGAGCGGTACACTTTCAAAAGGTACTAACATGTACTGTATCATTTAGGGGCAAATAAGGTACAAAGATGTACCTTTTAGTATGTGTACTGTCAAAATCTATTTCAGTCAGTTGAATATATCTATAAGTATTACCAAATAACTAAATTAGAGAATCACAAAGAGCATGTCAACATAATTAGGTGAAAATAAATAAATAAATAAAATATTTTTTTCTTCTTCTTTTTTTTTTTTGCATCAAGACAATTAAGTGATTATTAAGGTTTTTTAATTTTTTTGCATCATGAAATTATAAACACATTTCCCTTAACTTCTCATTACTGGAATGGAATTAGAGGGAAAAAAATAATTGAATGAATTGTAATGCATTTACAAATAGCGGTAGAAAATCATTAGATTTTGCCTTGTTGTAAAGTTTTAGATTAATGCTGATTTTAATTAAAAGATTTTGTTTTCATAATAATAATTGAATGAGAATCATGATTACGAATAATGAGAATTCACAAAAGTAAAATGCAATAAGTTAATCAGAATGTGGGGAGAAATGTGCATAGTTCTCATGAAAATAATGTCACAAGTAGATACTGTAATTATATATATCATAATGGTTAAAAAAAATAGGTTTATTTTCTTACATCTTTCACAAAAATTGTAATTTTTTATTATTATTTATTATTTCAGAATGTGGTGAGAAATGTACATAATTCTCATGAAAATAATGTCACACTGCAATACATACACTGTAAAAAAAATCCGTAAAATATACGGTAAAAAAACGGCAGCTGTGGTTGGCAGAATTTTACCGTATAAAAATACGGTAGCAACATTTTTTAGGGTTTACGGATTTAACTTAAATTTACAATTAAAAAACGGATTTCTTTAACTGATGTAATGTTAATATACCGACCTATTGAAGTACTGAAATCTTGTTTTGTATCTACACTGATAACCATCAAAATCAGGTGGTGATGAAAAAGTCACATAATGAACCAAAGCTCACCACAAGCAGCTTTTCTCACAAGTTGAGAAGGCCAATACTAATATATATATATAGATACATATAGAAGTTGCACAGTGTCATTCACACAAACACTAAACACCATCATGGTGACACTCATAAAACTGAAATATGCAATAAACATTCATTTAACAACATTAGATGTAACACACAACCCTAATAAACATAGCTGATAAGAAAAAAACTAAGAAACATAGTTATTTCAAAGAAAATCATCAAATTTGAAATGCAACGCAGGGAATTCTGGGAGCATCAATTTACGGTTTTTCCCTGTAAATTATACAATCTTTTTCACTTCCAAAAACGGTAATTTACTGTAAAATTGTCTGAAATGTCTATTACAGTTTTTCACCATATATAGTAGGGGAACTTACCGTTTACCGTTTAAAAAGGTTTTTACTGTAGCATTTTCACAGTTTTTTTACTGTTAAAATCACGGTCATTTTTTACAGTGTATACATACATACATATATATATATATAGTGAAATATAACCAGGCCATGTTTTCATAAGATTCCCTCCACATTATTGGGCAGAATTAATCACAGATTCATTAATGAGAGCAGAATGCAACTAAATTACAAGAGTGATGCTGTTGAAATATCTGGGCATTAAAACTCATATTAGTGGAGACGGACGTCATTCTGATGATGACACAGACACGGTTTACTCTGTTTTGGAGTATGTCTTATACAGGGACCTCAAAACGTGTCTGGACACTTTCATGTCTTATATGGAGAACTCAGATAGTTCTTATGCCTCTGTTGTTCTTTGTCCAGTCTACATGAGTAGATCAGGTCTTTGTGCTGGGTTTACCTCCATGAGGAAGACGTTGTTCTCCCGGGCGGCCGAGACGAGCTGTCTGACCTCTCGGAGGTTCATGGCGAAGGGTTTCTCGCACAGCACGTTCTTCCCAGCGTTGAGGAACAGCAGACCCACCTGCAGATGATGTGTGTGCAGAACGCCGATGTACAGCACATCTGACAGGAGACGCTCGTCAGTGATTCTGAGGGATTCAGTTCTGTCCAGCTCTGTCTGTTTACTCACCAATATTTGGATCCTTCACCAGCTCCTGGTAGCTGCCGTATGCTTTTGGGATGCCATGAGTTTTTGCAAACTTCTCTGCACTTTCTAGGCTTCTTGCTGCAACTGCAACTATCTATAAAACACACACAGACAGAAAAGTTAATGATTAAATCAGATTTTAAAAGCAGATGCTTGGTTCGGTCTGCATTTTTTATTTTATTTATTTATCCTTTATTTTACCAGGAATTATCCCATTGAGATATAAATCTCTTCTGCAGGGAGTCCTGGCCAAAATGGCAGCACAGAAAGTTTCACATAAACAGATCAGACACACATAAAACCAGAAAAAAATATCCAGCAACATATAAAAATAATTCCATAAACCATTCACATGTTTCTTCCAGATTGGACTCCAAAAGGTTTCTAAAAAATATTTAGAGATGGAATTGCTTCTAACATCATAACACTCTGCATTTCATTCCATAAACTAGGACCATATGAGGAAAAGGCAGTTTTGCCAAACTCAGGACATACTCAAATGTAATTTAGAAGAATTTCTAGTCCTATAATTACAAGTATAATATGATAAGAGATTACAAGTTGGCAGTTTACCTACAGTAATAATGCCTTGGCAATAAATAGTAGCATAAGTGGGAACGTGAAGATGCATTCATCACAAATCGTATTGCAGCATGATATATAAAATCCAACTTCTTTAGTAAGGATAAGTTTGCATGCATATAAAGTACACTCAATATGCTATTATTGCATACTGTTTTATAATGCACTACAATACTGAGTTGCAAATATCCAAAAATTTTTGCACTAAGTTGCCTATAAATAGCATCTAACAACTATTTACACTGATTGCAAAGTAAATACTGCTGTTTTCACTTAGTGCAAATAGCCGCTGTCTTTTTAATATACAGCACTGCAGTTTGCATTCTGAACAGTTACCTGAAACTAAATGTCTGTGCTTGTGTTGAGTGTTTCTGTACTCTGCTTATTCTTCACAAAGATGTGTTTAACCCATAAGACATAGGGTCAAATAGGATATAACTTCAGTTTACATTAATCTTTTCATTGGAACGTGAAGATGCATTTATCACAAATCGTATTGCAGCATGATATATAAAATCCAACTTCCTTAATAAGGACAAGTTTGCATGCATATAAAGCACATCACCATAGTCCAACACTGAAAGGAAACAACTTTGGATAATTCTCTTTTTTGCTTCAAAAGGAAAGCATTTCTTTATACGAAAGAGAAATCATGGCTGATGTTTCCAGCTCCACAGATTCCCCAGCGGGTTGCCATGTTCGCGCTGACCTTCAGACTGCATGCAGTTGCATGTGCGAAGCAGGCTTTTATCTGCGGTCCAGAGTGCAGGTGAGGACGTCATGTGATCTGATAAAGTGTAACTTTGAAGTCGGAAACAGTTGTCAATGTCTCTCTGTAAATGTCTTTTTTTGTCACAGTGGATTGATGAGCTCATTATGACTCAACACAAATCAGATCCTCGTTAAATGTGCCAGCTAATGATGATCAAGCATGTTTATGTTTATTTGTTTGTAAAGTATGTCAAGAAAACGTTATGTCACTCCGGTGGAGACCTGCCAAATTCACATTTATGTAAGTCTTACTATCACAACAGGTCTGCCTGAAGCTGCCAGCCAGCCACTGGTAGGTCACGTGACCAGCCACTGGCAGCTGCCAGAATCAGACTGGCAGCTGCCACCAGCCACTGGCAGGTCACATGACCTGTCAGTGGCGGCTCCTGCCAGCCAGTTGAAGATTGAACCCCCTCTCAACATCTGCTCAAATCTGATGTGAAGTAAGACACATCAAACCCACGTGAAAAACAAAACATAATTAAAATGAAGCATTTTATATTATATTAGCCTATTCTAAGTAGTCTATGTCTCTATTTCCTTATTTGTACATTTGAGACTCATGGGTATTTAATAATAAAGTCGGGTAGGTTTAGGAAAAGGTGTAGGAAGGGTTTTATTGTCCCAACTAAAACTAACTAACCCTAACCCAATAAAACAACATCTATTTAATCATTTTAATAAATATGATCATTTACACTCAATATGCTATTATTGCATACTGTTTTATAATGCACTACAATACTGAGTTGCAAATATCCAAAAATTTTTGCACTAAGTTGCCTATAAATAGCATCTAACAACTATTTACACTGATTGCAAAGTAAATACTGCTGTTTTCACTTAGTGCAAATAGCCGCTGTCTTTTTAATATACAGCACTGCAGTTTGCATTCTGAACAGTTACCTGAAACTAAATGTCTGTGCTTGTGTTGAGTGTTTCTGTACTCTGCTTATTATTCACAAAGATGTGTTTAACCCATAAGACATAGGGTCAAATACAGGACGTCATGTGATCTGATAAAGTGTAACTTTGAAGTCGGAAACAGTTGTCAATGTCTCTCTGTAAATGTCTTTTTTTGTCACAGTGGATTGATGAGCTCATTATGACTCAACACAAATCAGATCCTCGTTAAATGTGCCAGCTAATGATGATCAAGCATGTTTATGTTTATTTGTTTGTAAAGTATGTCAAGAAAACGTTATGTCTCTGAACAGTTACCTGAAACTAAATGTCTGTGCTTGTGTTGAGTGTTTCTGTACTCTGCTTATTCTTCACAAAGATGTGTTTAACCCATAAGACATAGGGTCAAATAGGATATAACTTCAGTTTACATTAATCTTTTCATTTCAGTGCACTTTCAGGATTACTGCACTGAGATGATTAGCTGGAAAGAACTGCAGAGGCCTACTCACTGTTATAAAACACTGCAAGACGAGCGTTATGAATGCTTTTGGTGTTTGGACACAATGTTCTTTCCACTGCTGGCTATTTGTGAGAATAGCTGGACTGTGAAAGGAATAATTCACCCCCAAAAATAAAAAAATAAAAAAATCCTCATGAGTTATCTAAAGGACTTTTATGGTACATAGTGCTTGAAGCTTTTTGTCTTTTTAGAAGCCCCACATGTTTAAAAGTTTATAGCAACATAAAGATGAGTAAATGATGACAGGGTTTTCATTTTTAGTTAAGAAATCTCTCATGCATTTTTAGTTGTATTTAAGCATTAAGGCTTAACAAAAACATAAAATCATAATTACAGTATGATCATCAGAGAAAATCCCTTTAATTAGCCTATGTGAGAGGAAATAGGCCTACATATGAGTTATTATGCAATGAAATGGCATTCAGTAATCCTGATCTAAAAAAACCACTACAAGTCACAAAATGCACAAAGATGAGGCCACACGCTACTCTCTAAGCCATCAATGAGAAGATTTGTCTATTTTTCAAAAAACAGCTTAACTCTTATTATTAAAGTTCTAAGGTGTTTAAGCTGTTTTTTACTTGGGGCTGTGAAATGTATTTTGTGATGTGGACTGGACCAATCTCTGAATGACTAATTCTTAGTTATGCGATGCAGCAGATTCCTTGCTTGTTTGGCATTGGGTTATTTTGCAGATGACTTTATCTAAAGCAATTTACAGCGCTTTTACTCCATGCTCGGAGCTCCAGGGGCGTTTAATTGTGCTCCTCTGCAGCGCTGCAGATCGGGAATGAGGCTTTGCGTGTGTTTTTTTTTAATCACCTGTCAAGTAGAAACCCAGCAGAGAGCGTTTATGTAGTGTAGTGATAGAAGGCCCCCTGTCGCTCCTCTCTCCTGATTCTCGGCGCGGTCATTTCTCTGCTGAGCTGGCGTTTAATGGCTTAGAAATCTGTCAGTGCGACACACAACACTGGGAAGACAAAAGGATTCCAGTGAATTACAACCGACTCAGGGATGGTGTGAGGAAGAATCTTGAGCTCCGATTGTTTTGGAATGTTTTCAGCTTTTGAAAATGGAACTTTGGCGCATTGTAACTAGTAACAAAAAAGATGGAGCAATGTAACAAACACAACACAATGTAACCAGTTCTGAATGTAACAAAAGTCTGTAGCTCCGCCCCTTTTGTTGTCTTCTTTTTTCCGTTTTTATTTCCACAGCTTGACGGTAAAGTCGTACGAATTTATAAGTCTCGTTTTCCCGGTCTAATGACATTGTGACATCTGCTTCTATATAGGCTTAATCAAACTTAAATGATTTGGACTTTAATTCAAAAGTCCAAATCCCAAAAAATGTGAGTGGTGTTCTGTTTGGCAGCCGTTTTATTTATCGTATTTTATTTATGGTGTCAGGACCTTCCATTTCAATAACTAAAATGAGCATCATAAATTGAGCCTTTTTAGCTCAAATGAGGCTAGAACCGCTGTATTTTTGTGAATCGGGATGACAGGATCATGTTTATTTGCAAAACATGCCAGCTTGATTCCAGTGCAGAAGTGAACATTCAGGTTGGATTAGCATTTACTGTAAAGTACTGGATGTGGAAACACAGTTACTGTGCATTAAATGAATCATGAACAATAAAGAAAATGCGAAGGCACCATTGTTTTTATTTGATTGCAGAGTTGATTCATGCTTGATTCCTGCATTAACCAGCAAAAGCATCCAAGAAGCCTTTCAAAACATGAAACATCATTATTGCTTTATAATAATAATGTTGTCTCTCGCATCAAAATCCAGCCACATATTTGTGAACGGTGCTTGATCTGTGCAGATTTCTCTCCTGATTCAGAGCAGATGACTTTAAACGTCTTAATGATGGATTTGTTGTTTCTTTTGTCTTCTCAAGAGGTGATGTTTTTATCAGCTGTTTGGACTCTCATTCTGACGGCACCCATTCACTGCAGAGCATCCATTGCTGAGCAAGTGATGCAATGCTTCAAATACTCATTCAGAAACTCATCGACATATTGGATGGCTTCAGAGTGAGTATTTTTTTATTCATTATTTTTTTGGGTGACCTAATCCTTTAAAGGTGAAATCATGAAGAGGTGAGCATCATAATGCATTATAAATGAATTCAAAATTATTTTTGACTAGATATATAATGCATTGAAATATGTATTATAAGGCATTATAGTGAATTATTTGTGCATGAAAAACATAGGTATATGAATGACAGGGGTAAACCATGTTTCTCATTCTACGCTATGAGAGCTGAATTACATAACAGTGATCGATACCCTTGAGCTCACAGGAGTCCCTGCATCAGCAGCACTGCAGTCAGGTAGTCGCGACACTGTGGTAATGTGAAACCTTCAGCATGGACTCACAGATCCACACGTCAGTAGGGATGCATGTGTCTTCATCCGTCACAGGCAGTGTGTTGTGGTGCTGATGCTGAGCACACTGTGTGCTTGTACAGATGCGCTCACTGCAGCACAGACCGCAGCATCACAGACACACGGACACGCACAGGTGAGCCTTTCATGCTGCTTCGTTTCATAACTGCTGGGTAAAACTGTCTATGTTTGCATGCACTTTACATTATACAGTATTGTCTATGTTGCACATATGCAGTGTTATAATTAATTGCAATATGAATAACTGTTTAATCAGGAATAGCTCGACAAAATGTTGCGTATTTCAATTATATGTTATATAGCTAGATGTTTTATGTTAATTATATGTGTTAATTTGTTTGGTATCAATTAGGATTGTTTATCAGTGTTGATACGCAATGTTGGTCACAATTACTGTGTATTTAATTTGTTGAAGTAGAGCTGTTGCATATTGTCATTGCTATAGTAAATATAATAATAAATACAAAATAAAATAAATAAAAATGTATTTTAAATATATTTCAGAATATACAAATTTTCCATGTATGGTCATTTATATATTTTAAAAGGCATTTCAAATTAATTCTGCACTTCATATATTTCAATCCAAGGAAACATTTACATATGAAAAACTTATTATTGATAACAAATTTTATTTGTTGAACATATAACACATTTAAATCATGCATAAAGCATAATTGTAAGCTACTGTCAGACTGAAAATGTATTTTCTTGCCCCTGAAATAACTTTTAAAATATTTATGGGTATATGAAGGTTGAAACGAAGTATAAATACACTTTTCAAAAATTTAATTGAGCTTCATGGTTTACATACAGTAATTTTAACAAATATTTAAAATATATTTTGGCCAGAAAAAATTGCCTTTTTTTTTTTTGCTGTAAGGAGCATGTTCATGAATTATTGTGGAATTAATATTTAATTTTTTAATATGCAATACTTATCAGTTTTTCATACACAAAAGCTGGGTTTTTATAAGGGTACAGTATCAGTCAGAATAAGGGCATCCTTCTTTCCTCTAACTTTGTTCTGTGTTGAACGCCGTCATGTCAGCAGCTGATGAGCGTAGGAGGGTTTTCATAAAGGAAGAATACGCCACTGCACTGCCTGTTCCCTCTGATTATTAGCTCTCAAGGTTTCTCCAGTCGTACGAGAGAAACTATTGAGCTCACAGTTCATCTCTCACATATACAGCATCGCTGTGTGCTGTTTTATCGGGTTATGAGTCTATGAGAGTCTGTGCATCATATTGTCTGGACAGAAATATTTTCTTGGAGCTACACAAACCAAATGCATTCATTTATTTGATTGTTTGTTTGTTTGTTTGTTTTTGATTGTTGTTTATTCACTTGGCAAATGCTTTTATCCAGAGTGTCTAACATATGAGAATATTATCTCTCCAATATGGAAATATATAAACATGAATTTATATCCATCCATCAATATGTGAAAATGTAAACATGAATTTCTATCTATCCATCCATCCAATATATAAATATGTAAACATATGAATTTCTATCCATCCATCCAATATATAAATATATAA